CTCCTTCACACCTACACTCCCTCTCGTGCTCTCCGATCCTCCTCTGCCTTCCAGCTCACTGTACTTTCTGCCCGCCGGACCACCATGGGGTCAAGAGCCTTCAGCCACTCTGCCCACCGTCTCTGGAACTCTCTCCCACAAGACACCCGCAATTTGGACTCACACTCAACCTTCAAATCCGGCCTGAAAACCCACCTTTTTAAACTGGCGTATTCTATATCATAATTCCTCTCAACTGATTGTTGCTTTTAAGTCTTTGTTTTTTTAAGTCTTGCATTACTGTTTGACCTTCTTTGTTGCTGGTTTTTAATTATGCTCTGTAAGGTCTCCTTGAGAGCTTTGAAAGGCGCCCATAAATAACATTTATTATTATAATAATTCTGACAGCTTCTCTCCCCCTGCCCCCACTGGACTTTAACACCCCCACACAAACTCAGACACTCAAATCCAGCAGCAGACACTTTTCTACGCTGCTGTCGACAGTCTTGCACTAATGTACATTACCAAAGATATTCAAGTGACTGTTATCTTGTATATATTGATTGTTGTGCTTGTATCTTAATGTGTGCACGTGTATAAATGTGTCTGTTTATTGTGGGAGGGGTGTGGCGCAGTGGATAGAGCCTTGGTGTTTGGGTCAGGGGGACACAGGTTCAAACCCCACTGCAGTCAGCATGTCGTTGTGTCCCTGGGCAAGACACTTCACCCCAAATTGCTCCTGTGGGGATTGCCCACAGTACTGAGTATGTAAGTCGCTTTGGATAAAAGCGTCTAACAAGTAACATGTAATGTAATGTGTATACGATATACATATTTTTATATATATTTATATTTTTGTATTCAGGATTTTAAGAAACGGTATTTCGATCTCTTTGTCTGTACACACAAACTGAAAGATTGATAATAAAGTTGACTTTGACATATGATTTAGTTAACCTTTTATGTGCAATAACACATTGTGTTTATTTAAATCTCCCCTTAATTAACATTACCTGATTCAATAAATACATAAACTCTATATATAAAAGTTAATCCGATCTAACAGTTGCTTAATTATTTCACACTAAAACAACGAAATGGAAAAACAGCATTGCATGTGAGTATTTACATTAAACATACCAAATACAATTGAATAACATGACATAAAGTCAACGTTTTTGGCTTAATTATTTGTTTGAGTGCATGTTGGTTTAACGTGAAGGTCAAGCACTCCTAGATCGAAGGGCCTAGGCACATCCTGTTTCAGCTGGACTGCCTCAAGTCCCAGAGGAAGGACGTGCTGGACCTTGTAATGCCAACTGTGAGAAGGTCTGCTTGATTGGCCCACAGTGAAGCCATCCTCCACTGCTGTGCTCTGAGGATCAGAAGGAGATAATTGAGGGGGTGGAGAGAATCCTGGGAAGAGGGGGACCCAGACACTCAGCTGGGGGACTCCTCTGTCAGGACCAGAAGGACACCTGACAACAATTGTGATGCTTCTAGCCAGAGCCGGCCCGACCCATTAAGCGACATAAGCAGCCACTAAGGGGCCCCCTAGCAAAAAAACAAAACACACTTTGTCATACAATCTAAATGTAGTAAATGTGGCTGTTTGGCCACTGACGTTGCCATAACAACACCTGCATTTAAATGTGCAAACTCTTTTTGTGACAGATTTTTGCAAGAAATTATAATTCTTCTGAATGATATCCCTATTGACAGCTAGTTTCTATGTGAACATTATGAGATGGACAGCCAGAGAGAATAAATGAAAAACAGTTATTAAATACTATATGACAAAATAAGAATAGCCTACAGTTTGAGGGTGAGTGATGGGAGACCCCAAGCCAAAGCTTGCTTAGGGCCCCCAAAGGTCTAGGGCCGGCCCCTACCTGTTTGCAATCTTACTGTCAGGATTCTCATGTTTTGTCACGTTTGTAGTTTTGTATGTCTGGTTATGGGTATTTTCCTCCTTGTATATTGTCTGGTCCTTCTTCCTGTGTTTTTCCCCTGTTGTTAGTTTCCCTGGTGTGTCTAGTTGTCTGATTGTTTTCACCTGTGGCCCTTGTGTTTCTCCTCCCTTAACCGGCTGTTTCTCATCTTGTGATTACCCCTTCCTGTATTTAGTCTTGTCTCTTTCTGTGTTCAGTGTCGGTTCGTCTTGTGTATTGACGTGGTCTTCGGTGAGTGTCCTGTTCGGTCTGTACGTATATATAGCCTTGAAATAAAGGAACTATTTTTGTCACTTAATCTGCATTTGGGTCCTGCTTCCTACACACACCGTAACACTTACGGTGCACACACACGATCCACGAGTCATTGATGATCTCATTGCAGTTATTTGACGAGCGTCTACAAGCAAAAGGTGAGGAAACTGTACCATGTACCATGCGGCAATTAAAGCAGTTGCTTTAAGTTGCTGTCAACTCGTTTTTATTTATTTAATGACCATGTTTTGTATTTAGCTTTAAAATGACCGCAGCCCTTTCAATGTTAAAGGCTTATACAGGTGAAAGATTGAATCTGACTGTAGCTGTGGCTGTTGTTTAATGAATGCAGGCAGGAAAAATGACAACATGTATTCACTTTGTTTTTCAATGTGACCCGTTTTGCACTTATCTAATAAACTTGTAATTAACCTATATCTTGCTTAAGTTCATCTCGTTTACCACAATTACATGCATGCATTCAATGGGTTAGGTCAACGTTGTGCTGTCATAACGCATGCATTTGTGTCAAGTCATGGACAGTTAAAACGTCATTTAGAACGTTTTGTAATAAAAGTTACTGTAACCCTTCCCCCGCTCTCAACTTAATTCACCATCCCCCAAATGTTGCCATTTTGACTGTGTGTGTGTGTGTGTGTGTGTGTGTGTGTGTGTGTGTGTGTGTGTGTGTGTGTGTGTGTGTGGTGTGTGTGTGTGTGTGTGTGTGTGTGTGTGTGTGTGTGTGTGTGTGTGTGTGTGTGTGTGTGTGTGTGTGTGTGTGTGTGTGTGTGTGTGTGTGTGTGTGTGTGTGTGGCTTCGTTAAGCATTTAAACTCAAGCACATGACTGGATGCTTTTATATCCGTGCAAACGACCTGAGGTCCATCCACACCAACCAGACCTGGCAGAACCCATAGCGTGTGTGTACTATATTTGACCTGGATGGATACCAATCTCCAGTGGCCGACTCAGACAGCTCGGCCCTGGAAGAGGCCTTTGATATCCATCAGGTATTTGAGCAGGTGTTCCCGGAGGAGGTGGAGCAGAATCAGGCCGGACCTGCAAGAGCAGTTGCTCCGCGATGTGGATCTGGTGGGGAGATCCCTTGATCATGGCTTCAGGGCCCTCAATGACAGCCGATCAGCCAAGTTTCATGCTTTAAACAGCCTGATCCTCCAAGGACCTCCACGAGCTCCATCACCTGCATCACCTCCATCACTGCATGCCCAGAGCCCAAGAGCCTGGGAGAGCTGGATAGAGACCTTGCCTCAAAAGATAAGCTCTCCTCTCTCCAGCGGGCTTTCTTCCTCCGGAAGCTGGATGTCATGCAAATAAAAGGTAACTAACAAACACAAATGTGCACCTGCTTATTGGCAAGGGAATGACATTGGGTACTAATTGTAAATGTTAATTCTCAGACACCAAGGACCTGAAGCTGAAGGCGGCCGTCATTGCCATTGACGGCGAGGCCAAGGGCATCTGGCTTCCCGGGTGGAGGCCAAACAGATCCACATCTCTCCCTTCCTACCTTGGGGAGAGAATAAAAACTACACTGAGGAAGAGGCGCCGCTCCAACAAACGGGAGGCCAATTTGGACACTAGGTTCAGGAGATTCTTTAACCCAGACCAGGACTAGCAGGTTCTGGGTTGAGTAACTTTGTATATATTTGAATTTATTCGCTGTGTCTTTTATTCTTGTGTTTTTTTAGTGTTTATTATTTTTATTATTTGTTATATTATTGTGTGGTGTTTTTTTGTTACTGTTCCTTTATTTATGTTCAATAAATGCTCTTTTTTCTCACAAAGATCTTTGTCTGTGATTTCAACTCATTCCATCTGTCACTTTAAAAGAAATTGCTAAATCACCACACTCCAGGTGGACTTTTCAGAGGACAGCCTGTGTTTGTCAGGTGGGAAGCTGCTTAGTTGAAAGAGGGCAGTCTACAGTTCACACATACCAAGCCGTTTATGATATGAATACATGTAACAACATTCTGATATTACAAAGGGAGAGTCCCTCCTTTAATATCATGCATGACACGGCCAATTTGAAGCTAGTCCAGGGCAAGTTTCAGGCAGTAATAAGAGTAACAGTATGTGAAGCAGGCAAGTACATTTTTGTGTCCATTCATATACATTCAACCACACAACAACTCACACACGCTGAATAATAGCAAATTTATATATGTAAATACAAATGTAATAACTCAAAAACATGAGTATTTGTATTAAATATAACATTATTTTGAAAACTATAACACAAATTAAGAAGAACAATCCATCTAATTATAATCACAATATAACAAAAGATATGTTTGTGAAATGAGTGCACAATGAGTAGTTTATTTTTACTGAGCAGCCATTCACCTTCATTGATTCAGTATAAAGGATGGCAACAGCAACAACATAAACACAGGTAAAAAAGCTCAAGTGGATACATATCAGATTATGTGTACAGGGAGGCTGTGGTGCAGCGTGTTGGTGTTGGGATCAGGGGAGCACGGGTTGAAACCCCACTGCAGTCAGCATGTCGTTGTGTCCCTCCCAGAGCAAGACACTTCACCCCACAGTATTGGGCAGCAGGCCGGACAGCAGCAATAGCAGGGTGGGCGGCGGCAGCAGTTTCAGGCTGGACAGACACATCAGGAAGGAGAGCAGCAGCTCCGGGCCCGACAGCACTGCCTCCAGGTCGCTAAGCAGTTGCTTTGGGCCTTTTCTTGATCATATCTAAAAATGTACCAAACAAAGCACATTTGAACTAGGAGTATTATTTTAGAACATGTTTTCCTTCATATATGAACTGTGTCTCACTTGCCTTCTTCCACAGCCTGGCTCGCAGCTACCAGGTCACCATCATCCCCTGGTCACGAGGATGAGTCCAGTGTGCTCGTCTGAGGTTAGTGAAAACAAATGTAATGATAATTTGATGCCAGTTTTTAATGACCAAAATAAAACAACACATTTAGCAGGAGTGCTGATATTGATATGACAGTATGATGTGACCATGATTTGCAACTCTTCCTGTGTGCGATCCCCTGGAGCTTGGGGATTCAGGATGCGGAGAACTGGTGTTGCCATCTCCATGCTTCTCCCTGTAATGCCTGACAGCATAGACAAAAACAACATACATAACTTGTATACCAAAAACTGGCAGTTTACCAGATGTAATTGGTACCCTAACATTGCTTTATACCAGACAGATGGATACTTTAACTATCCCAAATGTGTTCAGGAATTCAAATGGTGGAATAAAGTATTGACACAATTACATTTGAATAAAATAAACATCAAATAATATAGGCTATAAACACATCAACAGTAGAGAAGACATGTCACAAATAATACCTATTTTGTACTGTTAATGTTATAATATGTTATAGCATATCAAATTAGAGTTTGATAGATACTTCACTGAAGGACGCTGTCCCCAAACTAGCGGCCGTTAGCAGTAACATGGCCGTGGTCATGTGAATATTCTTTGAGTTTTATGTTCAGAAAGCGCTATAGATGCAGAAAATAGCAGTTTGAATAACTTTTGATAGAGGGCGCCAAATCCTCCCCCAAATTGATCACAGTGTGTGTTTATATTCTTTTACTTTGATGTATTTCTGTAACACACACACACACACACACACACACACACACACACACACACACACACACACACACACACACACACACACACACACACAGTCTCTCAGGTGTACCTGCAGGTCTGCTATGGGTTCTGCCAGGTCTGGTTGGTGTGTATGGACTTCAGGTCGTTTGCACGGATATAAAAGCGTCCAGTCATGTGCTTGAGTTTAAATGCTTAACGAAGAGAGAAAAGACAATTTACATAATTACATTTGAGTTGAGTGTTTCTTCAACTTAATGTGTTGCTTAAAATAACACTTCTGCATACAGTAGGCCATGTGACACTGTAAGTGTTGCACGGCCAGATGCGGCTCGACTTAATGTGTTGCTTAAAATAATACTTCTGCTTACAGTAGGCCATGTGACACTGTAAGTACCGCCTATGACATCACCCCTACTGTATATCCCCTGATAATAGTGATACTAATGAAACTATTTGAAAACAATGAAGAGTTAACCGAGGAGGTCAGAGGTCAGCAGCCATGTTACTGTGCAGCAGTGCGTCAATGGTATACTTGATTTTATATGAATATTCTTTGACTTTGATGTCCGGGCGTCGTCCAGATTCCGCTATGGTTGCGTACAATAGCACATTCTGAACAGCCACTGGGTTAAGGTTGACACACACACACACACACACACGCACACACACACACACACACACGCAAACACACACACACACCACGCACACACACACACACGCAAACACACACACTTACACACGCAAACACACACACACACGCACACACACACACACACACACACACACACACACACACACACACACACACCTTAACGGAAGGTTTTGTCCTGTTTTAAGACGTGACCTTTGACATTAGGTAAAATAGTGGGGTCAAACGACATGTACTCTCTGAGTCGGTTCAAACGAGACCATGCTCAAAGCCGTCGGACCTTTCTAAGTGGCGTATACAGTGTTTATAGCATCCACACTTGACCTTTGACCATTGGAACTTTGTTACATTTCAAGCCGTAACCTTTGACATTTAGTTGCACCAGAGGCATCAATCTGCATGTACTCTTTGACGCGATTCCAAAGAGACCCAGCTCAAAGCCGTCGGACCTTCCTATGCGCCGGGAGATTCGCATGTCGTCTCTGGGGTTATGGTTAGGGTGAGACCTTGGGGTAAAGAGTTTGGGGCAGTATTTATGAGAGACCTAATCATTTCAAAGGGCCCATGTTATGCTTTTCCGGTTATTACACATCCCCTTGTGTGTTATGAAGTTTTTTATGCATGTAAACGGTCTGCAGAGTCAAAAACCCTCAAAGTACACCCTGTAGGGAATAAAACTCCAACACAGAAAATAGCTCCCTAAGTATTGTAGCAGCGGCCACACACACCCCCCCCACACACACACCCCCCACACACACACCCCCCAGCCCACACACACCCCCCCATCCCACACACACCCCCCCATCCCACACACACACACACACACACACACACACACACACACACACACACACACACACACACACACACCCACACACACACACACACACACACACACACACACACACACACACACACACACACACACACACACACACACACACACACACACACACACACACACACACACACACACACACAGTCTCTCAGGTGTACCTGCAGGTCTGCTATGGGTTCTGCCAGGTCTGGTTGGTGTGGATGGACTTCAGGTCGTTTGCACGGATATAAAAGCGTCCAGTCATGTGCTTGAGTTTAAATGCTTAACGAAGAGAGAAAAGATTTTAACGAAGCGATGACCTGAGAGACAGGTGGGACACAGACAGGTGAGAGACACACAGGTGAGACACAGACAGGTGAGAACAGACAGGGGAGAGACAGACAGGAGAGAGAGTTTTCTATGTGTGTCAGAGAATTGCATTGCAGCACACACACACACCCCCCCCACACACACAGGGATGCAGCATCGCAAATATATCCACTTTGGAGTGACTTTAGGGGACACACGACATATCGAAACATATCTACAAATCGAGCCGAAACTAACAATCATAGTCTCGACTGCCTAGCATGCGGGGAATGGGGAGAGAAAATCGTAATTGGACTTTGAAGACTTGAAATGGCCATAAGTCGTTTCAACAGGTGGGCCTGCTTACCCCACTTGGTGTGTGCGTTGCCTCCGCCCCCCCCCCCCCAAGGTGCACAGCGAGTTTGAAGCAAATTGGTGAATTTTTTATTTTAAATAATCACTAGGATAAGGGCCTATTTACCACCATCCGTATGGTTTACAATGTGCATATCTGGGGCTACGAGGTGGGCAACTGTACGGGACCTGCTCTGGGTGATAGCTTAGGCCCACGGCTATAATGTTTGAGACATTTGGGCCTGGCGGCGGTCTTCCCTGTTACTGCAATTGGAGTTTTAAAACTTCAAACGGCCATAAGTCGTTCCAGCGGGTGGGCAACTGTAGCCCACTTTGTGTGTGCGTTGCACCCGCCCCCTTGCAGGTGCCCACCGAGTTTGAGGCAAATTGGAATATTTTTCAGTTAAAGAGACCTTTAAATGTGGAAGTGGAATAAATACTCTCTGTTTCCCTCCAGAGGGCGCCAAATCTTTCCCCCAAAGAACAGCTGGTTAGAAAATCAATACACTACAGAGTGTTTGAATGTGTAGGCCTACATTAACAGGTTTATGGCATCACTGCCTCATCTAAGACACGAGTAATCTGCCTTAATAATTAAACAATTTACATAATTACATTTGAGTTGAGTGTTTCTTCAACTTAATGTGTTGCTTAAAATAACACTTCTGCATACAGTAGGCCATGTGACACTGTAAGTGTTGCACGGCCAGATGCGGCTCGACTTAATGTGTTGCTTAAAATAATACTTCTGCTTACAGTAGGCCATGTGACACTGTAAGTACCGCCTATGACATCACCCCTACTGTATATCCCCTGATAATAGTGATACTAATGAAACTATTTTGAAAACAATGAAGAGTTAACCGAGGAGGTCAGAGGTCAGCAGCCATGTTACTGTGCAGCAGTGCGTCAATGGTATACTTGATTTTATATGAATATTCTTTGACTTTGATGTCCGGGCGTCGTCCAGATTCCGCTATGGTTGCGTACAATAGCACATTCTGAACAACCACTGGGTTAAGGTTGACACACACACACACACACACACGCACACACACACACACACACACGCAAACACACACACACACACGCACACACACACACACGCAAACACACACACATACACGCAAACACACACACACACGCACACACACACACACACACACACACACACACACACACACACACACACACACCTTAACGGAAGGTTTTGTCCTGTTTTAAGACGTGACCTTTGACATTAGGTAAAATAGTGGGGTCAAACGACATGTACTCTCTGAGTCGGTTCAAACGAGACCATGCTCAAAGCCGTCGGACCTTTCTAAGTGGCGTATACAGTGTTTATAGCATCCACACTTGACCTTTGACCATTGGAACTTTGTTACATTTCAAGCCGTAACCTTTGACATTTAGTTGCACCAGAGGCATCAATCTGCATGTACTCTTTGACGCGATTCCAAAGAGACCCAGCTCAAAGCCGTCGGACCTTCCTATGCGCCGGGAGATTCGCATGTCGTCTCTGGGGTTATGGTTAGGGTGAGACCTTGGGGTAAAGAGTTTGGGGCAGTATTTATGAGAGACCTAATCATTTCAAAGGGCCCATGTTATGCTTTTCCGGTTATTACACATCCCCTTGTGTGTTATGAAGTTTTTTATGCATGTAAACGGTCTGCAGAGTCAAAAACCCTCAAAGTACACCCTGTAGGGAATAAAACTCCAACACAGAAAATAGCTCCCTAAGTATTGTAGCAGCGGCCAACACACACCCCCCCCACACACACAACCCCCCACACACACACCCCCCATCCCACACACACCCCCCCATCCCACACACACCCCCCCATCCCACACACACACACACACACACACACACACACACACACACACACACACACCCACACACACACACACACACACACACACACACACACACACACACACACACACACACACACACACACACACACACACACACACACACACACACACACACACACAGTCTCTCAGGTGTACCTGCAGGTCTGCTATGGGTTCTGCCAGGTCTGGTTGGTGTGGATGGACTTCAGGTCGTTTGCACGGATATAAAAGCGTCCAGTCATGTGCTTGAGTTTAAATGCTTAACGAAGAGAGAAAAGATTTTAACGAAGCGATGACCTGAGAGACAGGTGGGACACAGACAGGTGAGAGACACACAGGTGAGACACAGACAGGTGAGAACAGACAGGGGAGAGACAGACAGGAGAGAGAGTTTTCTATGTGTGTCAGAGAATTGCATTGCAGCACACACACACACCCCCCCCACACACACAGGGATGCAGCATCGCAAATATATCCACTTTGGAGAGGCTTTAGGGGACACACGACATATCGAATCATATCTACAAATCGAGCCGAAACTAACAATCATAGTCTCGACTGCCTAGCATGCGGGGAATGGGGAGAGAAAATCGTAATTGGACTTTGAAGACTTAAAATGGCCATAAGTCGTTCCAACAGGTGGGCCTGCTTACCCCACTTGGTGTGTGCGTTGCCTCCGCCCCCCCCCCCCCCCCCCAAGGTGCACAGCGAGTTTGAAGCAAATTGGTGAATTTTTCATTTTAAATAATCACTAGGATAAGAGGCTATTTACCACCATCCGTAACGTTTACAATGTGCATATCTGGGGCTACGAGGTGGGCAACTGTACGGGACCTGCTCTGGGTGATAGCTTAGGCCCACGGCTATAATGTTTGAGACATTTGGGCCTGGCGGCGGTCTTCCCTGTTACTGCAATTGGAGTTTTAAAACTTCAAACGGCCATAAGTCGTTCCAGCGGGTGGGCAACTGTAGCCCACTTTGTGTGTGCGTTGCACCCGCCCCCTTGCAGGTGCCCACCGAGTTTGAGGCAAATTGGAATATTTTTCAGTTAAAGAGACCTTTAAATGTGGAAGTGGAATAAATACTCTCTGTTTCCCTCCAGAGGGCGCCAAATCTTTCCCCCAAAGAACAGCTGGTTAGAAAATCAATACACTACAGAGTGTTTGAATGTGTAGGCCTACATTAACAGGTTTATGGCATCACTGCCTCATCTAAGACACGAGTAATCTGCCTTAATAATTAAACAATTTACATAATTACATTTGAGTTGAGTGTTTCTTCAACTTAATGTGTTGCTTAAAATAACACTTCTGCATACAGTAGGCCATGTGACACTGTAAGTGTTGCACGGCCAGATGCGGCTCGACTTAATGTGTTGCTTAAAATAATACTTCTGCATACAGTAGGCCATGTGACACTGTAAGTACCGCCTCTGACATCACCCCTACTGTATATCCCCTGATAATAGTGATACTAATGAAACTATTTTGAAAACAATGAAGAGTTAACCGAGGAGGTCAGAGGTCAGCAGCCATGTTACTGTGCAGCAGTGCGTCAATGGTATACTTGATTTTATATGAATATTCTTTGACTTTGATGTCCGGGCGTCGTCCAGATTCCGCTATGGTTGCGTACAATAGCACATTCTGAACAACCACTGGGTTAAGGTTGACACACACACACACACACATGCACACACACACACACACACACACGCAAACACACACACACACACACACACACACACACACACACACACACACGCAAACACACACACACACACACACACACACACACACACACACACACACACACACTCACACACACAAACACACACACACACACACACACACACACCTTAACGGAAGGTTTTGTCCTGTTTTAAGACGTGACCTTTGACATTAGGTAAAATAGTGGGGTCAAACGACATGTACTCTCTGAGTCGGTTCAAACGAGACCACGCTCAAAGCCGCCGGACCATCCACACTTGACCTTTGACCCTTGGAGCTTTGTTACATTTCAAGCCGTAACCTTTGACATTTAGTTGCACCAGCGGCATCAATCTGCATGTACTCTTTGACGCGATTCCAAAGAGACCCAGCTCAAAGCCGTCGGACCTTCCTATGCGCCGGGAGATTCGCATGTCGTCTCTGGGGTTATGGTTAGGGTGAGACCTTGGGGTAAAGAGTTTGGGGCAGTATTTATGAGAGACCTAATCATTTCAAAGGGCCCATGTTATGCTTTTCCGGTTATTACACATCCCCTTGTGTGTTATGAAGTTTTTTATGCATATAAACGGTCTGCAGAGTCAAAAACCCTCAAAGTACACCCTGTAGGGAATAAAACTCCAACACAGAAAATAGCTCCCTAAGTATTGTAGCAGCGGCCACACACACTCCCCCCCCCACACACGCCCCCCCCCCCCCCCCCCCACACACACCCCCCAGCCCACACACACACACACACACACACACACACACACACACACACACACACACACACACACACACACACACACACACACACACACACACACACACACACACACACACACACACACACACACACACACTCTCAGGTGTACCTGCAGGTCTGCTATGGGTTCTGCCAGGTCTGGTTGGTGTGGATGGACTTCAGGTCGTTTGCACGGATATAAAAGCGTCCAGTCATGTGCTTGAGTTTAAATGCTTAACGAAGAGAGAAAAGAGTTTAACGAAGCGATGACCTGAGCCTGAGAGACAGATCCGGGCGTCGTTCAGATTCCGCTATGGTTGCGTACAATAGCACATTCTGAACAACCACTGGGTTAAGGTTGACACACACACACACACACACACGCACACACACACACACACACACACACACACACACACACACACACACACACACACACACACACACACACACACACACACACACACACCAACACGTTCTCGCTCCCATACCGTCACATAT